TAATAGTTTTTGGCTAAGATTGACATCTAAATGGCTAAGACTGACGTCTAAATGACATCAATTTTAGCCAAAACTGATATGTAATACGTCTAAATGACGTATTATACATCAGTTTTAGCAGTTAATGTGTACGGTAATACAGGATTTTTGATATAATAAGAAGGAAATGTGACGTAATAATTTTTGTAGTACTGAAACTGTTGGATAATTTTATTTATATATGTTCATTGTTCATTTTTCCCCGGTTTAATTGCCAATTAATGATGTAAATATTACGACCGTTTTTTTTTTTTTGTTATGAAATGAAAAATAACAAATATGAATTGATAGATTTTTGCTGATGGGATGAATCATTTCATATTTCTTGAAGGAGAACTGAAAAAGATGTTAAGCAACCAGTTGGCAAAAAGAGGACTGGTTACCAATATGAATGCCAACAATGACAAAAAGCTTAGCATTCTTTTTCAATTCTTCTTCAGTTGGTCAACAGCAAATGTACATCACTGTGGTATCTTTTTTAATATTAAATAAAAACTATCTTCTTTCTGTTTATTCCGGTCTATCATTTAATCCGTTTTCAAAGACAACCGTTTAAAGGGTACTAGAATAAACGGGTTTATGCTGTCTTAAGTCCCTATCTTTTTTCATTTGACACATTTCTTAGTGAAAGAATGTGAAAAAAAAAAACGATAAGTAATTTAGTTAATATAGCTTTAGATTATGCTTAGCAAGTTCGTTTCCTTTCATCTGAATTGAGCATCTCTTATCTTCATTTAAACTTTGAATGAAATGAGAGAGAGAGAGAGAGAGAAAAAGAGAGAGAGTGCTGCAACATAGAATGCTGAATGTTGATTAAACACAGAATTATCTTATTCTGATTAGACTTTAGGATGATGAATGGTTGGAAGTGATGCTGAATGAACCTCCAAAAAAATTCTTGCTAGTCGTTAAGCTATGATGTTGAGCTGAAACATTGCGCAGCTGTGAGGTTAAGATAACTTTAACTTTAGCAGCTTCAAGTAAAAACTGCCAGGAAATATTCACGAAATGTGCATGGATAATTGAGGTTTGATAACGATGGTGTATAAGAAATTTGTTCATCGCAGGTTATCTTCTGATAGCGATTAAACTTCGATATATAATGGATTATTAAAAATTTCAGAGCGACCTGAAAAATAGCAGAAAACTGATTAAAAGAAAAGTGATTAAAAGTTTTAAGCTACATTGGAAGAATACAACACTTATGAACGAAATTGATTTCTCATTGATGATCGAGTGACATTAAATTACTTTCTTGGAGAATGATAATGATGACTACGTATAACTGAGTGGGAGGAACTTTTTCAACATTCGAGAAAACTTTTGTTGTCGTGAAAATTTGTTAGGAGGATTTATGAAGCAACAGGAAAATTGCTTAAATGGAGGAAGATTATAAGAATATCAAATGTACTGCTACAACTGAGTAGAAAAATTGGACTTAGGATTACAAAAAAGTTACGATGCGTCAAATGAAGAAAAGACAGAGTTCGAAGGTGGTAACATTAGTCATCAACAGTTAAGCTTAGCTTTTGAAAAATTGCCTTATCGAAATCATTTTGAAGATCCATAGAAAGCTGGCCCATGAAATATGATATATGTTTAAGGAGTGTTACACTGTAAAGCTTAGAAAGGAGTACTGATAGGTATCATAATCTAAAATTATTTAGGTACTTGTTGTTCTGTTTGCTGATCAAACATATTTACTGGGTTTCTTTCATTTAGATTTTGTTTTTCTGAGTCCGATGTTTTCATATCTGTTCATTCTCAGGATGTAAAATTGTTGAT